TATGAACATATTAAACAGAAAATAATCGCTATTTTTATTGTCAAATATATTGCAACTCTTCATTTTCTAATCTTGTGCTAGTGTCGTGATATCCTTTGTTGCTGAAATCTGCAACTATTCATTTAATTGTTAATCTAGTCCACACATGGATGGAGGTAGAAAATGATTGTGGCATTACATTCCTTTTAGTAAGTGCCTGAAGTGAAAACAAAAAGCCTTAAAATAAGTCTGATTAATATTTATAAGTAACTTGAGACCCCCCTATTAGATGCAGACTTGAACTCCATTAACACTTGGTTCATTGAGGCCTGGCATTTATATATATTGAGGTTGCTGACTTAGATTTCCGAAGCCTGTCTTCTGGAATATTTGGAGCTCTTACTTGCTAATTAGAATTATGCACACACGGAGACGACTGAACTCTCCACTGCCTGGTAATCACAAATTACTGGCCTTTCAATTGCCAAGACTAGTACATTGCTACAGGTGTCATCACCCTACACGTTCACCTCACAAGTTAGACCACCCAAAAGGATTTGAAAGACAACAACATTCTTCCAAAAGGACTTGATTCTTTTAAATGTATTTTTCTGAACCAAAGTTTAGCTAGCCTCAAAGTTCAATATTTTGAATTACAACTCCAGGCCAAGTTTGGAAGTGGCTGATTTTTATAAGGAATGAATTGGCACCCCAATTAAAAAATTCCTCATACCTGAGGATTTTGTAATAAAAATGTTATGCCTTCTGTATATATCTTGGGTAAAATGTAATGGGCAGGAAGAGCAATAAATAGATTGGGTGTTTACAGGGTTTTACAGGGTCAGCTGTGCTGAAGTGTTGTTACAGTTAAATTAGTAACTGTTTTGTCTGTGTTTCTGTGTGTATACACACACAAGTATATAAATATACACTGTAAATGGTAACTGATTTATATATATAGACCAGAATTACCAGCCTAATCTGTCCATTCCCAGATAATATAATTTCATAAATATGACAAACCAATGATTCACAGTGCTTTGCGATCTATAAAATTGTGGATTACTTTTGGGTATTAATTAACAGTGATTTCTGTCATTGTCAGATATAATGGAAGGGATATTATACAGCAGGATCTGCGAGACTCTGGGATGCTTTGTTCTTCATAGCTTGCCAGGGCACTGTCATTTATCTCAACTCAAAACAAGCTTGGTTGGTTTCTGTAGTGACGTTTTTGGAAAGGTTAGTGGATTATCAATAGTTACTTTAGATATACATGCCAAAGGGAAAGAAACGCAGAGGAAACAGTAATAGAAAAGAAGTTTAAATTCCTTCATGAATTTTGTTATGAATTGTAAAAGGGCAAAGCAGTCAAATCAAATTGATGTTTGACAGTCTTGGGAGACGTGAATTTTCCTGTGGGAAGTAATGACGGCTGATTGTCAGAGCTTCGGCTACTAATGCACAAGGCAGAAATATTGCTCTCTCTTTGGACTTGGGTTCTTTTCTCTTCTATAGCCCCTATGAGTTTTATTCATAGACCTTGGGGAGGACTTGAAAGAGAGACGAGGGGAACAGTCCGCTGAGGATTAGCAGAACAAAAGAAATCCAAATGTTCTAAGATATGGAAATGCAATAATGAAGCCCAATTATCTATGTAGTGACAGTGTGCAATATCTATACTGTTACAATTAATAATTTATTGTCCCTATGTCCTAGATTAGAGGACTTTTAAACATTCATTAGGATTGACTTTCTTCTTTGGCGATGCTCTTAGGTATTTTGAAGATTGAGCACTGTAATTTCGGAGAAAATACACTGCCTTTTTCAGATGTAGAGGTTCAATTCATGCTTCAAGCACAAAACTAAACTCAGAATTAACTAGGAACCAAATAATCTCTCTTACAAATTTGTGAAATGCCTTTGCTAAAGTGCTTCAGTACTTATCCTTTCTACTTCAATTTTTCCTTCACATTCTATGAGAAGCAATTTCTCCGTCACAGTCTTGTGTTCCACTTCCAGTTCACACATCCAAATTATCTGTGGGCTGCAGCTTTCCTGGTGCCCTGGCACTCTAACCTGCAAAATGCTCTTGTACAGCAGGTTATTGATCTTCTAGTCTAGCTTGAAGGTAGCTGAAATGTTAGTATAGCTTCTAGCCTTTTTTTTTTCCCCTGTTCTTTACTCCAATGATATATGGATTATAATACTGAAAATGCATTCCCTAATAACTGGGTAAGGATTAGGGATCCATAGCATGGGAATTCTTCCCCCAAACTGAAGTTATATCCTAAATTGGGAAACACACCGAGCCAGCTAATACTGTGTTTTCTGGCCCTCTGTATTGCCTGCTGTATTTTCTAGAAACAGTGAAATTTGTCATTAAAAATAATAATAGAATTACTCAGCTGACTATATCCCCAAGAGAGTAAAAAGGCATGTATGCATGTGCAATGCTTCAGTAAGAACAACACTAAACATTTGAAAATTAATATATCATGCAATATCAAAAACAATCTTGGCAGGAACAATTGCAATTTCTTGCACACCTCTGTCCACGTTGGCAGTAGAAACCACTGCTAAGTGACAGTGTCCTTCATCAGAGGCCAAATCTCATTGGTGAAATACGGATTCTAAGTCTAAGAATATGCAACAGAGAAAGCGAGTGGATCTGCTTCCTTAGCTTTAAGTAAATGAAGTGTTTTAATGGCAGTAAGGATGTGGCATAGCCAGAACCAGAAACCAGGAATGCTCTGTTTCAGGCATGTGACGATACCATTTATGTTTCTGCCGCTGCCCAGGAGGCCGGCAGTGGCAGCAGCAAAAGGCCAGAGGAGACTGTAAGAAGAAAGGCCAGGTGATCCAGAGGGCCAGGAGGGGGCAGAGGGAGGCGTCCAGGGCACCGCGAGAGAAAAGGCTGGGAGTACATGACGTGGGAAGAGTTTGCAGTTACTGCATCACCCAGGTCTCTGGGGGAAAACAGAAAATGAAGAGAGACAGAAAGCCAGGATAAGAGCTGTATTTGAAAGATACCACTAGTTACAATAAAAATTTAAAAAAAGAAACTTAAACAGGAACGGGGGCGTACTGTATTCCTGCAAGTATCCAGACATTAAGTAACAGTTATTTTCTATAGAAAAGCCTGTATGTATGAAACACAATAGACTTAGTTAATGCTGTATCGTATACAACTATTTTTCCTCATCTGCATGTGCTGTATGGGTAAAGCTAGTCAAGCTTTCCATTTCCAATATAACATTACCGTAAGCTTTGGACATAATGCTTTGGGTGATTTTACATCCAGTGTTGGTGATTGTCATTGCTTTGCCATAAATAAAAGTATTATGGGGAAGAAAAACAGACAGTTTTGATAAATAATGTCTTTTCTTTCTAAAGTGCTTGTAGATCAGAAAGTGGTTTAAAACTGCGTCTCTGAATCAGCTCACCTGTTACTGAAATGCAGTCACATTGTAATGCAGTTACACTGTAACATTGTAATGCAGTAACACTGTAATGCAGTAAACTATGAGAGGAAATGTGACTGACTACTGCAGTGATGGCCCAGTGCAGCATCCAGCCAGCTGCTGGACCTGGTTGCTTCTGCTCATGCTGTATTTTTCAACTTGCAATTTAATCTCTGTTGTTTGGATGGTTTGTCTTTCAACATTCAAAAACATCTTCTTGGGTTGGGAGATTGGAGTAAAAATATGGAAGGGATATGTGGATGCAAAGGATATGTAGATACCTGGATTGTAAGGTTATCTGTTTAGTGGCTGTTCAACATAAAAAATAAAACAAGAGGCAAGAACACTAATAAATCAAATCCCCAGATACCCAAGCCCTAGGGAACAGAGGATACCAGAGATGATAGCAGAGACCAGACATGTCAGGAGAGATTCAGCCAGAACGTTGCAACTTATACGAAAAGGGGAAATAAGGTTATCATGGGTCTCACAGGAAAGGACAAACTTCTTATGGTGTGTTTGAAAGGGATTGTGAGAACATGTGAAACTTATTTTGCGATGTTCAAGGGAAGGACCAAAGGGAGAGGTCAGAGTGGATCAGAGAGGAACAAGTGTAGGAAAGTGGAGAGGAGAGGGCATAAAAGGGTCTGGTTGTGTATCAGGATGCTTGTCTGACTGAGCCCTGTGTCTGATCGCTACACCCTGTCCCATCTCTTTACTAAACTCAGTTCCTAGCTGGTTTTGATGTGATCTTGCTTTCCATTCGGTGTTTATGAGTTTGGGGGCAGATGTGATTTGTTAGAGGACTTCTGGAAAGACCCAAGGTCCAAGCCGGTGCCTGGGTAAGGGGCATATAGGGTCTGGGCACAGATATTGCACAGACGTAGCCCATGCCAGTGTTTGAGGGGTCTGTACATATTGGTGTGTTTGTGAATCATGAGTGACGGTGTGTGCGTTTCACTAGCAAACTTCAGTCCTCATCAGCTGGGCAGGAGGAGGAGGATCAGGCTGTCTGTATTTGTGTCTGTGAGTGCCGTGTGGGTGCTGGTAACAACACTGCTGTCTGTGATGGTCTGTGTGTGCATCAGCACCTCTGGAGTACACACGCGGGCTTACTACCAGCTGGACCTGCAGACGGGAGCCGCACCGGTGGCATCTATTGGACGGGGACGGGAGAAGCCTCCTGGGTCTGAATGTGCACCAAATGCGGCTCTCATGGATGGGGTGGAGGAATCCCCTGGGACGGGAACCCTCCAGTTCCACCCTCTGTAACAAGTGATACTAGTTATAGCCAGCAGAAGAAAGTTTTACCCACATGACAGATCCTGCTTTCTAGAGCAGCCAGCTTCCCACATAATATATGAAATCTGAGGACATCTGAAACTAGGGTGCTGTGAGTTGAAATCTGCTGTATTTGCAAATCCTTAGTAGATAAGACTAACATGCTGCACAAATGAAGCATTAAATGGTGCTGTATTTTTAAACTTGCAAAGACTTTTGGATACTGTGAGCAGTAATTTTTGCATTCTAACTGGTTTGACTCCTTGCTCTCCCTAGGGGAAATGGAAGAGTTAGAAACCCTGTGGCTGACTGGTATTTGCCACAATGAGAAGAATGAAGTCATGAGCAGCCAGCTGGACATTGACAACATGGCAGGAGTGTTTTACATGCTCGCAGCAGCCATGGCACTCAGTTTAATAACCTTTGTCTGGGAGCACTTATTTTACTGGAAACTTAGATTCTGCTTCACTGGAGTCTGCTCAGATAGGCCGGGATTGTTGTTCTCAATCAGCAGGGTTAGTATTACTTTCATGTTCTCCCTTCAGGCAACAGAGTAAACGCTACCTCCCTGAAACATTACCTTTCCTTTTATTCCCACTTGGACATTTGAAATACATGTTAGAGCATCAGCGTGATGCTCTAGAGTAGTCAGTGGGCTTAGGGTGTACTTGCACTCCACGGGAAGTCTTTTCTCCGTTAGATTATTCTAGGGTGTGAATTATCGTATGCCAGGTTAATCGGTAATCAAATGATGAAAACAAATACATTTTGGGGAAATTTTGATGAAGAAATGGTAGAGCTGCTCAGATGCAGGAAATGGATTAATTTCCACAAAAAATTCCAAACAAAATAAATGCTAAATTGATGACAGACATTAGCTCTCAGTTTTGTGTATTTCTTAAACAAGTGGATTTTAAGTTATAAACATATACTGGAATATTTTCATAAGCTTTTCTTGATAGCAAACTTGAATAAGCCATATGAGAAAAGGTCTAACACAAGTGTCATTTATGTTTGGTTAGACACCAAGACAGGTTTTAATGATAACTTTACCAAACCCAAAGTGGATTTACATATCCAAGTAACTGATACTTGTCATAAAATAAGGGAAGTATGTGCTTGTTCTTATATTTTTGACAAATTAGTTGTTTTTTATGTCTTTTTTTTTTTTTAAGCACGTAGGACTTTCATTAGGTAATTGATTTTGCTGGATTTTTAATATAGCTGAGGAGAATTGAAAATGATACTAAAATGCCTATTTGCTTTAAAATATGCTGAAGTTACCCTGTTGAGTAAATTGGACTGTATTGGAACTGCATTAAAAATACTCTGCCCTGCCCTGTTGGGGATTGTCTAGAAAAGCATATCACTTTAACCTCCACGTTTTACATTTGCACTTTATACTTTTGGCCTTTTACATGTGAAATTCTCCTAACCAGTGCAGGGGGAAAAAAAGCACTTATTTCAAAGGCAAATTTCTGAGAATTACAAGTTCACAGGGTCGGAAATGTCAATTGAGCTCACAGGAGTGACCAAAGAGGTTGGAGTTAAAAGATGGGCTTCAGCCTTTTGCTCAAAATGAATTCAAATTCAGGCTTTAGAAAGAGCTGGGATTTTTTCATATGTACTAGGATAGGAAACAGAAAAGCTAAAATACGACAAAGCCTTTTTATTTCAGTGAAAGTAAAGAGTACCGTAACTTCCAAGAAAATTAGCCTGGCTGCAGGCTTGTTTAGATGGGTAACTTAGTCACTGGTTTAAAATAACAGCGTTTCCATTACTGAATGTTAGTTACATTTTGTGATGAGACTAGGGAACCTTTTGGGGTCCCTTCTAATCTTGTTTTCTGCAATAAGCAGGGGAGGCCAACACGGACCACTGGTTTGTAAAATACTGGCAATTTGTCTCCTTTACAGTTCCAACAGACATGGCAGAAATTATTCTTCCATATCGATGTAAAGAAATGCTAAAAGGATAGATATGTACTTTTAATCTTTCCAGTCATTAGATAAGCAGTGTTTAATTTTTCTTTACTGCTAATTAAAAATAGAATGGAAGTATTTAAAATTTATACCTAGTGATTTAATTTGTTTTATATTACTCATATTGCAGGGTATTTACAGTTGCATTCATGGAGTACACATTGAAGAAAAAAAGAAGTCTCCTGACTTTACTTTGACCAATTCCCAAACCAACATGTTAAAACTACTGCGAACAGCGAAAAATATGACCAATATCAATCCTTCAAGAATTAACTCCCCCAAAAGAACAGCTGATTTTATTCAGAGGGGTTCCTTGATTATGGATATGGTCATGGATAAGGGAAACTTGATATTTTCTGATAACAGATCCTTTCAGACAAAGGACAACTTTTTTGGTGACAACATGAGTGAACTGCAGACACTTCCTGGCAATCGACACAAGGACAATCTTAACAACTATGTTTTCCAAGGTCAGCATCCTCTCACACTGAATGAGTCCAATCCAAATACGGTAGAGGTTGCAGTAACAGCAGAAGCAAAAGTGAACTCCAGACCTAGGCAGCTTTGGAGGAAATCTGTTGAATCTTTACGTCAAGAATCTGTACGTCAAAGCCAAGGTTCCCAGAGAGAAAATGGGTCAGATGAAAACAGGCAGCTTTCAGTGAAAAGCCAAAGATACCTTCCTGAAGAGATTGTCCATTCAGATGTATCAGAGACATCAAGCCGAGCTACTTGCCATATGGAACCTGAAAACAACAACAAGCACCACAAAACCAAGGACAATTTTAAAAAAAGGACAGTAGCATCAAAATACCCAAAAGACTGTAGTGAAGTGGAACTGACATATCTGAAAACCAAACAGAGCTCTCCACGGGATAAAATCTACACAATTGATGCTGACAAGGAGCCAGGATTCCGCTTGGACACACCTCAGTACATTGAAAACATTGTCCTTCCAGAAACTATAGAGTTTCCTGATGTTTATCAAGATCACAATGACAACTACAGGAAAGCAGAACATGCTGACAGGACTCCCTTGCATAATGAAGACAGTCTTCCAAATAATGACCAGTATAAACTTTATGCAAAGCACTACACTTTAAAAGATAAAAATGCTTCCCTAGTCGACATGAACGATAGATACAGACAGAATTCCACCCACTGCAGGAGCTGTCTTTCCAATTTGCCCACTTATGCGGGACACTATTCGAGCAGATCTCCCTATAAATGCGACGCATGCTTGCGGATGGGGAACCTATATGATATTGAAGAAGATCAGATGCTGCAGGATACAACGAACTTATCACTCCCTGAAGAAATAGATGAGCATAGTTGGTCACAAAATAATGCTCTGCAATATCATAAAAAAAATAAGTTGAGGATTAGCAGGCAACATTCTTTTGATAATATCGCTGATAAGTCCAGGGAAATTGATATTGGAAGACCTTCTCGTAGTATAAGCTTGAAAGAAAGAGAGAAATTTCTACAAAGTAGTCCATATGCAAGCATGTTTAGTGTTCCCTCAAGCAAACTGTTGAGCAACAAGACCTCACTTTTAACTCATGCTCTAGAGGACAGTAAGCGGAGCAAGTCCCTGTATCCTGTTCACTCAGATGATAATCCCTTTCTGCACTCGTATGGTGATGACCAGCACTTATCTCTTAGGCGAAGTCCAGCTGATCTTTATAAACATTCATTACCAACAAGAGGAAGAAATGATAATTATTTAAGGTCATCCATAAAGTCTACAGCATCATACTGTTCCAGGGATGGTCGGATCCATAATGACATGTACATTTCAGAGCATGTTTTGCCTTACGTTGCAAATAGGAATAGCTTGTACTCAACTCCAAGGGTTTTAAATTCCTGTAGCAATAGACGTGTGTATAAGAAAAGGCCTAGCATTGAATCAGATGTTTAAATTTTCCACGAATACTTTATCTATAGAGAAAAAATAGTTGCCACCATCTTAGAGGGAGAATTTATCCCTTAACAGTATCCTGCTATGGTAAAAGATATGTAAACCTCTCCCTTTCCCAGTGTACTTTTGTACATGAATAGGTAAACTAGTATGCTCTTAACTATCCTTTTAAAATATGTCTTGTTGAAAAGGATAAAAAATAGCCATTTATGTATGCTTTATATATAAATGGCAAGCTGAAATAGCCCCAATATATGTTGGCAACTATGCTGTTTTGTATCTAATTATTTTACTATTTCGGTTACTCTAATTTATGTTGCTAAGTATCATTCAATGTACTTTTGTCCTTAGAAATGTTTAATGATTTTCTAGTACTGGATAAGCAATATGGTATGCATGTAGTATGACACAGACAAGAAGAATTAGGAATGCATTTGCACAGTTTCAAAAGTAAGACTCTTAAAAGAGAAACAGAAAGCTAGACTTTCAAAGATATATTTTAACTTCATAATCATTTTCAAAGCCAAATAATAATTAAAAAATCCCAAACCCCGGGACCTTAATAAATAAAATACAGTGTGTTAGCACAAAATTAGTACGCTCATTCTAGACTGACAGAAAACAAATGGGAAGGCTGTAGGCCCAAACATGTGAACTGCTGTGTACCCAAAGGAGGCCCCATGGATATTGGTTAATGTCAACGTACAAATGCTTTTCTTATATTTCACATGCACTTACCATTACAAACTAAGTTCATTGAAGAGTCTGCAGTCATCTTGTCAGAAATTTCACAGCTGCCTAATCCAGAGTATATATTTTTAGATATCACTATATGGCACTTACTATGGAGCTGTGGACTTTATTAGTAACCTTGAGGCCTAATGTGTACGTAAGTTTGCATTTGCCCCTTACTGGTGATTACTCAGGGCTGTATAGTATTTCTTTTATTCCTTCACTTCCCAGACCAAATCCCAACCCACTGTAGTTCTTTGTTCATAATGTATTAGTGACATCCGATTAATTGTATGTTAGTAGTATTAAAGCTGTTAATACAGTATCAAACACCAACAGCCATACGTTCAGTGCAATCAGTGAGGAGTGCAATGCCATTTATTTGCATATGCAGTGAAGGATTAACACCTTTTGAGGGACTTCTTCCTTCCAGAATATTGTGCATATTTGTTGAACGTCAGACCATTTTTTTTAACCTCTCTGATCAAGTCTGTTACATAAATCGAATATATGCACACGTAACCAAGGAACAGTATCTTTATTATCACTTACCGGAATACAAAGATATTCACATAACAGGGATGCATTGTTATATGACTTTTACTTCTAGTAAAGATCAATCAGATTATTTCACAAATAAAATGTCTGCTACACACCCCTCCTTGCCCCCGCTGGAAAAAAAAGAACCCACTAGATTTTAACCATAAGGGAGTGTGGAAGGGAAGAGAGTAAGTCTTTCATGAGTAGAGTGTACAGCTGTAAATTTAATTTACACTAAAGAAGTAAATATAATTGCTAATATATTTAAATATTGAAAGCATTCAACAGGTGGTACTCTCCCATTCCTCTGCTACTCTGAGAATTGCTTTAGGTTTTTTGTGTAGAGGAAATTTGGATTATTCAAGCATTATTCCTTACGTTTCACTGAAGAACAGCGAGCAGGGAAACCATTACCACTGTGAATTGGAAAATGTGAATATTACCCTAACTTTTCTCTAAACTGAAACTCTTTTCAATAGAATCATGCCTGTCAGCTGTAATTGTAGTATCGGCATGCCAGAGGTACAGTATGCAAGTTGTTTAAGTTGGAATAGCATACTGCACAGCAGAGTTGCAAATGGGAGATTATATAAATGATGTCTAGGGACAGACAAAATATAGCTTCTTGAATTTTGTTTACAATTTTTTTATTAAACAGATTTAAGCTGACTTTAACTGCCAAACAGTCCAGAAAGAGTTCTTGGTATTTACAAATGTATTTGTATGTTCACCAAGATGGTGAAAGACGGTATTTTTGAAGGAATGAAATGTAATGAGATTTGGGCTTACGAGTCCCTTTCCAGCTTCCAAAAAATCTCAGTATACTGTATTAGAAGTATGTTCAGAAAGCATATCTATGGGTATCTGTACGCTGTCCAGAGCAAATACGTATGGAGTATTCTTTATTCAATGTTTGGTAACAATTGTTGGCCCTGATTCACATGGTATGCTTTCTGGTTCCTCAATGGATGTAGTTTTTACAACCAGAAGATCCTTACCTGCCCTTACAGAGATTCACATTTCTTAGGAATAACTGTATGAGCTAAGCAGGGCTAGGGTTTTTATGGGATGGACACTACTTTTCATTAACCAAAACCTTTTCCCAAAGACATAGGTATACTATTTGTCTTAGATCTACAGGAAGGCAAATGCACTAAAGGCATAAATATTGATGCAATGAGTTTAATAAAAATATTTCAGGCAAATTTTAATTTCCCATCCAAATCATAATATATTAAGTAAAATCTTAAGTATTTTGAACTACCTGGTGTGTTTCAGCAGATATGGTATTTGCTGATATCATACCAAAAACTGCCATGCAAGTCGCTGAGAATTTTACCAAATGAATTATAAAGCTCGGTGGTGGCTCTTGTCTTTCACATCATCTTAAAGCTCTCAAAATATTTGTTAATTGCTCCAAGTCTTTTATACCATCATCTCTATCTAACTAGACAGACATAATTCAATATACAGACAAGTACTGTATGTGAAGTTGTGGGAAAGAAAAATTCCCATTTACAACATTTTCTAAGTAAACTGTTGAGATCCAAACATCCTGAACCCAGGTGGATTTATCCTTCTGTGAAATGTACAAGCAAATTAGCCATAAAGAAATATATTGCAGTGTTTGCTTTTTTGGATTTGAGCAGATTTCTGGTGACTGTAGATTTATTATTATTAGCGGTAAATATGCAATACAACCACCTCCCCTAAACCAAAACAAATTAAAGAGTCAGAGGGAAGACTTGATAATGTTGCACAGCAGTTGTTCACATGGAAATAAAAGATGCTGCCTTAAAGGAGAAAAAAAGAAAAACAAAACACAGATATTGAAAGTAGAGGGAATAAGAATCTGCATGCATTTGTTGCTTTGATCTTGGCATATAATATGAATGAATAAAGGGGGAAGAAAAGGCTAAAGTGTAGGGTTGTAGGCGAGTAGCTGGTGTGGTTGCGGATGTATACGTGTAAAGAAGAAGCAGCTGAGAAGTTGAAGAAAAATCTTCAACAGTAGAGCCACAAGCCACAGCTTGTGAGGCTCAGCCGTAGAGTGCGTGGAATTCTGAGTATTGCCTGAGCTTTGTTGATATATTTGCACTGACTTTCAATTAAACCGAGATCAAGCCTTTCTGTATTTCCCTCTCTCTCACTCTAGCTGCTGCTATTCTTGAAGAGGAGAAAAGAATCTTCCTGCATAAGTGGCCATCCTTTCTGTACCTTTCTGGATGGTGCTGGTGACTTGTTACATTTTCCTGATTACAGCTCTAGCAGTTTGTTGGTCATTCCTATCACCAAGATTTCCTGTGACTCCAGCTGGAACTGGATCAGGCTGTAAATGATATGGGCCATTCTTGGTAGCATGTCCTGTAGTGTTACACTGCTCCTGGATGACAACTTTTATGGAGGCAGGATATTGAATTGCTGAGGAATGGAGTAGGTACATGGAGGTAAAAACAGCTACATAGACATACCTGCCTCTTGCTTTTTTCCTCTTTTAAAGACATTGTAGAATTTCTTCATGTTTTTGTCTTTCCCTTTTCACCACAGTAAATTTTCCTTTTTCCTTTCAAATGGATTTTGTGTTCTGCTTGTGTTTCTTAGAGCAGTGTAGCCACCCACTAACTTAAACGCATGGAAATAAGATATTTTAATATATAAGATAAAATTAAGGAGAATTAAGAGTTTTTGTATTTCTGGAAAATCTCATTTAATGTTTTTGCAGCTTTTGCTCAGAATTCATTATTCTGCTATCTAAGAAGCTCGGTTAGGAGAAAGTGCTGTGGAAAAACAGAAACCAAATCACTGCCAGCTCACCATGTTTTGGCAGCATCTCATAAATACGTGTCTCTTTCTTTATGATCTTTCGGGAACACTTAGGAAGTGAAATAAGGCTCACAAGGGAAATCAGGAGTGGTTTTTTTTTTTTTGCCCTGGTGCAAATAAATCTTTTTACGTCGTTTTAAAGGAATCGAAAGCTAGAGCTGTGCATGTAGCTTTGGGTTTCTGTGCTGGAAGGCTAAGCTCTTTCTCTTGCCAGTAGGGAGAGAGAGAGAAAGCCCCCTCCGGGTGGTAGTTCAGAACACTGAAGGCTTGGAAGCAGTTATGTGTGTGATGTGTCCTGAAAGATTTTTACTTCTCTCTGTTGACTTTTTAGAAAGTATAGGCTCCTAACTTAAGACATCTCAGTTAGGTGGGCTTAGAAAAGTAATCGTCTATCCCCAGCCTCAAAAATCTGCTAGTCAAATCTGCAAGTCAGTACCAAGTTAAACCTTGCAGGTGCATATAGGTTCCTGTGCTTATACAAGTAGTTACTAAGGTAGCACCTGTCGTTTGTGGGTTTTGCAGTACTCCCAGCCTAGTCGGTATCATCGTTTTCTTAATACCACGTGACTATCCAGCATGAACTGAAAGTGTCAGAATCTATGCCTTGTAGAATAACTTGCTATTTTCATATTTCTGCAGTGTAGCATATGCATCTTAGTGATGGGGAAGATTTTGGTACTATTCCTTCCCTTGCTGGGTTCATCAACGTAGAACAGGAATTGTGGTATGAATCTAAGGGTCTAAGAGTCAGCTTGGATTTAGGAAGGGTTCAAAAGGTGAATCTTTTTGTTGTTTTACATTGCATTAAGGACGTTTGATATATAAAACCTAGTGAAAACAGATCTTTTATGGCAAAATCCTTTCTTAGTTAATACAGAACAGTAACCGTCCTGTGGCTTGGCTAG